AAGAGTGTTTAGTTTGCATTTCAGTAAGATTTTTTTCCTGTTGCAGTTTGAGCCTGGTATTTGAAAATCAGTCACTGTGGTTTTCTGCTTCCTCCCGGTACCTCAGTTAGACAGATTCTGCAATTAGAAGTTACCTTACCATTACGATGATCTGCTAGATGAAGTCCACCTTGTTCTCAGAGCTACACTGTGTAGTGCTAATAAGAGTGGATTGGCAAGAGGGAAGGATATTTTTCGATACAACATTAATCACTTTCATGGCAGTAGTTGCCTGTTTCACCACTGAATCCGATTAGCATTAATATTAGGCCAATTAAGCTGAATATAGCTGGTCTCTCTGAATTACTCAGAGGGATAGTTGACTATAAAGAATGTTAAATGAATAGTTAGTTACTATTCAATTAATGAGGATTGCTGCAGCAATGCTTTCTTAAATTCTCTGATTTTTTTTTTTTACATGCCTCAACAGGCAGCTGTACTTACAAATAAAGACAGCTGAGCAGCCATTCTGCTCTGAATAGGAGAATGGAAACCGTTAATTCCCTGTTCATGTAGCTTCTCTGTGAAGCAAAGGAAAAAGATTTTAATTTTTTATTTGTAAGGGATTGAACCAATTCCTCTTTTTCTCTATCAGAGTTCAAAGAATCGGTAGAGTAATGCAGGTTGGAAGGAACCTCATGGTAAGCCCTCTGCTCAAAGCAAACGCCACTTCAAAGTTAGATCAGGTTGCTTGGGCCTTGTCCAAACAAGTTGTGAATATCTCCGACGACGGAGATGCTATTAACTTTCTCAGCAATTCCGGTGCTTAACCACTCCACTGTGAAGACGTTTTTTCCTTGTTTTCAATTGGAATTTATCTTGCTCCAACTTGACTGGGGCTTCTTGTTCTTTTACTGCGCACAGCCACAAGAAGTCTGACGTAGTCTCCTCTATAAAGTCTGTTTTAAGTAGTGAAAGACTGAATTGAATGTGCTGTTGGACTTCTTTTCAGTTTGTACAGACCCGTTTCCTTCACCATCTGCTTAGGTGCTCCAGTCACCCATTTATCTTTATGGTCATATACTGTCTTGTCTTTAGTTTGTCCGTCTCGCTTCTGGCCCAAAACTGGGTTAGACTTTGTTAATTATGATAAATGTTCAAATACTACTCCTTATTTAATACACAAATTTTATACTTATTTGATGAGTGGTAAACCTATGGCTAAGAAGGTCCTTTATTGCAAGCTCCATGTTTTTAGGTGCTCTCTTTTTTTTTTTTTTTTTTTTTTTTTTTTCCTATTTTAACTAAAAAAATA